AAAAGGTTTGGTTATAATTACCAAGATTTGGTTATAGTGACCAAGTAGCATAGTTGGATATGGCGAAATAAATATCTAGTGCGCGAAAGTCTGCAATTTTCTTCAGACTTCTAGTTGGGACAAAAGTATATTTGTTAATGATTACAAAACGACTATCTTGCTTGGACAATATTTTTGGTTGAATCATATCATTTTTGAGCAAATATTAACAGTGCTTTGGTTCATACAAGTCTTCAAATCATTTTGTGAACTTATTGTGACCTGAATCAGCTAATTGTTTACTATTGGAAAAAATTTCAGTTCGGCGCAAATAAAAATTTACTCGGTGTTTGTTGTGTTTACTTTCTTCTTTTGTTTGCATATATTAAGTATAAAAAATACATACATATTTACATAAATAGTTACTAGTGTAAATAATACATATGTATATGGTGGTAAGAATTTCCTAAAAAGAAACGATGAATCAGGAACAGTCGTGCGAAAACCCGGGTCAATATCTGCTGGAAGTTCTGGTTTAAGTATACTGCTTTGCTTTTTCCTTGGCTAAATAGACACTTTCAAATTATAATTCATATGAATGAAGAACTCGCGGCGATAGTAAAACTGAAACCGAGACAAACAAGTCTGGGCATGTTATAACACACACTTTTCTTTCTTTACCTAGTGCAGTGATCGACATGCCATAGCTTACTGAGCGTTCTGTGGCCACGTGCGTGTTTCACCCATATATAATGTGACCAACTATTTCATAGCTCAAAGAAGTACAGCTAGGGTTGGGTTAAGTTCACGCCGCGAGACGATTACGAAATTTCGATTGCGGCTAATTTCCATCCCTGGGAGCTCAGTGTTTGTTCAGAAGTGCGAGCCAAACTGCTTCCATTATAGCCTCACAAAGGTTGAACAGTCTAAAAGAAAGTGGGGAGATAATTCCACTTCATCTTGCTCTTGACAGCGGATACCAAACTATCAGTTGAAATTCCTAGTCCCACCGCATGAATACCAATCGCACAATGGAAAGTCAGAACCCCCATCACTAGCCCTTCGAGGTGTTTTAAAGTGCCCTATAAAGCATTTTCTGCAGCAAAGAATCGTCTTCTTTTCCTTTTTTATGACACAAAAGTACTCGGTGTCCCTTAGCCTAATAGCAGTTCGTGCTGCGACAATTCTGTCTGCAATATCCACAAGCGCCGTGTTCAACATATGTATGTTAAGCGCCAGTGTAGGTGTGTTCCTAATGCTCCGGTAATTCCTGTTTTACAAATGTAGCCTTCTCTAGTGAGTTCCACCAGACAAGGGCTCCTTGAAACAATATAGGCCTAAGTTTGGTTTTCTAGAGCTAATGAATTAATTTGGGAGAGAGACCCGACCTTTACCGATAGCTCCCCTACAGCAGCACAAGGCAACCGACACCTTTGCTACCCTTTCCTCAATGCCAGGCTTCCACGACAGCCGCCGCTGATCGCCCACCTATGTAGTTACCTGGTTCAGGTAACCTTGAGCCAGATCAAAAAGGGTTGTATAGAAATCGTCCTTTAACCAAAAGTTCCACATCATCTACATGGGCGATCACCCGAAAGCCGACTGTTTCCAGTTCCTCTAGAAGGTCGTGTACAACCGTAATCCAGAGCAGGGGAGAGAGAACACCACCTTGTGGAGTGCTCTTATTCACTCTTCACTAAGTGCAGACGCTCCCGCACTCTGCCGCGGCAGCTCTGTCGCGAAGTAAGCTGTAGATAAGGCTTACAAGGTTGGTTTCAAACCCCAGATTATGAATATACTCGACTATTGCTTCTGGAGTGGCATTGTTGAAGGCCCCTACTGCATAATCTTCATGCGTGAAGGCTTCCTCTGACCACTTTA